CAGAGGGGGATGGAGGAGGGGAGGGGGGAGCAGTTTTCATTGCTTCTATCCCCCTCCTTTTAACTATTCTTTTATTTTTTTGTTAATCCTCACCCAAGGGTATTTTTCTATTGATTTTTAGATACAGTGGGAGGGAGGGAGGGAAGACATCGATGTGAGGAAGACACGTGGATGGGCTGCCTCCTGCACGCCCCCCACCGGGGATCGAGCCCGAAACCTGGGCATGTGCCCTGACCGGGAATCGAACCAGGATGTCCTGGTGCAGGGTCGACGCTCAACCACTGAACCATACCGGCCGGGCATGGCTGGTTATTAACTGAATCTTCAGCCTTCTGTCTTCTCTGGAGGGTGGGGCTCCGCGTTCCATGCGTTTTCGGCAGGTTTGGCCTTTCTGGTCGTAGTGCCCGTCCTGAAGCTGTGCGGGAGTTACCAAGGGTCACTCCCCAGAACCGAAGATGCTCCTGTCACCCAGGCAGTTCTGAGATTCGGGAGCGCTGTGTCAGGAACCAAGGTCAGAGAGCAAATGTTAGGACAGAGCCCCGAGCATCTTCACCCCTTACCTGCTCCTTGAAGTGGTCTCCCCTGGGTGCAGTGCATCACGCTGTGCGGTGCTCATTTGGAAAACGCTTCCTCTCAAACGTGGGAAGAATCCCTATCAAACAAACTGAAATGGTAACATTTGATTTCATCAGAGAAGCTTGTAAGTACTGGGAAGATACTAAGTTCATAGTGGTGGAAACAAGTTTAACCAAGTGCCGGTCTTCCCTTGAGAACTCCAGGTTAATCATTGGCAACAAATACCGTTACTGTGTTCTCCCCAGTGACACTGTGTCCTTGTGAGACCGTGCCTGCCAACGCCACAGGTCTAGTGCTCCCGGTTCTCGCTGGTCGGTGTCCTCCCGGGAAATGGCCGGCAGAGGGGGCATTGCCCGGCCTGTGCCCCTCAGCACAGCTCCCTCCGGGTGCCCAGCACAGAGTGTTTGACAGCATGGCAGGTTTACATCTGCTTAAATAGCACTATTTTTCTCACGGACCTTTTTTGGAACAGCGAGTGTGTGTGGTTGTGAGCAGTGAGTGAATTGGGCACACGCGTGCCAGGGTCTGTGCCAGGGTCTGTGCCAGGGTGCAGCGGCAGTTCGCGTCCGCCGTGCAGATGAGGCCGCCGGAGAGTGGGTAGGTCGGCATTCTGATGACATTTCTACTTAAGGAACCCCCTTTTCTCAAAGAATTATGAGAATCCCCAGGGAGAATTGGTGCTATTTCTAACTCAGTTTTCTGCCCTCGCCAGTTTGGTTCACTTGTCAGTCACGAAACGGTAAACCCTCCTGATTGTTTCAAAGACATTTAAAACGGGGGGTTTAGTTCTTCAGAAATCTCTAGAAGGACTGTAGCTCAGCCTTATGAAAGGACTCCAGTCTCTTGCAGGAATGGCCAGCCAGGAAGTCACTCCCTTGGCCACAGTCGGGCACAGTCGGGACATAGTCGGCCACAGTCACGACACAGGGCACAGTCAGGACACAGGACATAGTCGGGCACAGCCAGGGCACAGTCAGGACACAGTCAGGCACAGTCAGACCCAGTCGGGCATAGTTGGCACAGCCGGGCAGTCAGGACACAGTCGGGCACATTTGGGGCACAGTCGGGCACAGCCAGGGCTCAGTTAGGTCACAGTCGGGTCATAGTTGGGTCACGATTGGGACACAGTTGGATACAGTAAGGGCACAGTCGGGCATAGTCAGGGCACAGTCAGGACACAGGGCACAGTCAGGACACAGCAGGGCACAGGTGGGCACAGTCACAGTCAGGGCACAGTCAGGACACAGTCGGGCACAGTCTGGGCACAGTTACAGCCAGGGCACCGTCAGGACACAGGGCACAGTCGGGCACAGTCACAGGGGCACAGTCAGGCACAGTCATAGGGCACAGTCAGGACACAGTCTGGGCACAGTTACAGCCAGGGCACCGTCAGGACACAGGGCACAGTCGGGCACAGTCAGGCACAGTCAGGACACAGGGCACAGTCGGGCACAGTCTGGGCACAGTCATAGTCAGGACACAGTCATAGTCAGGGCACAGTCTGGGCACAGTCATAGTCAGGACACAGTCATAGTCAGGGCACAGTCAGGACACAGTCGGGCACAGTCTGGGCACAGTTACAGCCAGGGCACCGTCAGGACACAGGGCACAGTCGGGCACAGTCAGGCACAGTCAGGACACAGGGCACAGTCTGGGCACAGTCTGGGCACAGTCATAGTCAGGGCACAGTCAGGACACAGTCGGGCACAGTCTGGGCACAGTGACAGTCAGGGCACCATCAGGACACAGGGCACAGTCAGGGCACAGTCAGGCACAGTCAGGACACAGGGCACAGTCAGGCACAGTCAGGGCATAGTCGGGCACAGTCAGGACACAGACGGACACAGTCAGACAGGGTCGCGGCACAGTCGGGGCGGTAGTGGATCAGGAGGCTGCCTCTGGACCTGCTGAGCTCAGGAACATGCCCCTGAGGCCGTGCCCAGGGCTCAGCCAGCAGGAGGAGGCGCCTGCCACGGAGCTGTGCCTGGACAGGGAGCGCAGTCTGGTGGCCACTGCTCTCTCTCTCGACGTCCCTCAGGCTGGACCCCGGACACTGGGATGCCGCTGTGAGCAGCCCACACAGGTCCAGTCGTACTGGGGACAGCAGCCTGACGCAGCAAGGGAATGCTTCCCCCTGGCTCCTCCTCCCAGGCCTCACATCAGTGCATCCAGCTGGTAGAACCTAAATTGACCCAGAACTTGAACACGAGTGTCTTGGGAAATAGGTCGGGTTGTTTACTTTAATCTGCCCAGCTTCTGTAGGTGCAGGGAGCCCCCTGGGAGGATGGAAGAAGGGGGTCTGAGGGCTAACTGGTCTTCTCCCCCAAACCTGGTTTTCTGCTTCTGTGTGCTTGTCAAGTGATTCCCTTTACTTCCATGATCCTCTCTTTACTTATCCCAGCTATAGGCATTATCTGGTGAGTACGACTGGATGACTCATTTTTATTATAGGCCATTTCATGCCTCCTTTTTTTAACAGAGAGTTCTTTAAAAAAAATTTTTTTCTTTATTGATTTTAGGGAGAGAGAGAGAAACATCAATGAGAGGGAACATCGACTGGCCGCCTCCTGCACGCCCCCCACTGGGGATCAGGCCCACAACCTGTGCATGTGTCCTGACCAGGAATCGAACCAGCGACCTCTTGGTGCAGGGTCCACGCTCAATCACTGAGCCGGGCGCCTGCCTTTTTCTTCATCAGTCTTTGAGCGGGACTGGACCCAGCTGATGGCCGTCGACAGCTGTGGTCCAGGTGGTTTGGTTTTGTATGCCAGACGGAGGCCCCCTTTGGCCTGCTGATACGTCCTTACAGTCACCCTGCTATAACTTGTCTCATGTTTTCTTGATGGGATTATTTTTGGATCCTACTTACTACATTTTTGTGAGGTTTATTATACTAAGGACATTAAAATGACACCTTCTGTAGCTAACTATTATTTCTAATATTTTTAATACTCATGTAAGGTACTGTTTGGAGAGAAAAAAATGTGGATAACAATAGAAGTTGGCTTTTGAACCTGTCAGTTAGCGTGGACGATTCTCTTCTAGTATCTGTGGAAAACCCGTTAGCCAGATGGTGAAATGCCGATACCTGATTTCCAGTGCTCTGACCCCTTCGTGTTTGTTTCTCTCTTGTAAAACTCCAGGATTACAGAGACAAAATACAAACAAACCAAATGAATACAAAACTTTCCCAAAATATCAAGAACTATAATCCCAACCACACAAAGACAAAGTGGTAACAACTATGCTTCTTTCTCTTGCTCATCATACTGCTCAATAACCCCTACTTAGCCACATACTACAGTTCCTGTCGTTGTCTATTTTTTATTTTTATTTATTATTTTTTTGGTATGTGCCCCTAGCGGGAACCGAACCCGGGACTCTCTGGTCTGCAGGCCAACGCTCCAACTGCTGAGCCAAACTGGCCAGGGCTCCTGCCGTTGTTTAAATGATAATGGGAGTGTTACTGGAATCTGTTGGATTAAGGAAATCGACCAGTTTACATTGGCAAACGGGATTAAAAGTTTTTTTTTCTTTTTGAAAGTGGTAATAATTCTAGCCTTTATTTTTTGGGTAAAGAATACTTACAGCTTCAAAACTGTTTTCTTTTGTTAGAAAAGAAAAATGGTGTCATTTACTTCTATATTTCTTTTTGTGACATGAAAAATCTTTTTGTTAAATTTAAAGGACTGCATGTTTATTAAGTACTTCAGAGAGTACAGACATAGGAAGTAAAAAGATCCTTACACTGCCTCTTCCCTAACCCTCCTCCCCAGATTAACCATGCTGACCAGTTTGGTACATACTTCCAGACTTTTAAAAATGTACATATACAGGATTCTATACACATACACACACATATATGTATATACGTGTGTGTATATATATGTGTGTGTATATATATATACACACACACAGATAGATATATGTAGAGATATATACATATATAGATAGATAGATAGATAGATAGATAGATATAGTCAGTTTCTGAAACTTGATTTTTGACAGCTCAGTTGCTAATTATTATACTATGATAGATACTATCTAGCTATATGGACACACTGGAGTGTTTTTATTGGGTTAACTTCAGAAAGCATAAATGCAGATGTTTATGTTGATTTTGATTTTTTGTTGGTAAGGCAACTTACTCGCTTTTCATCAGCGACTCTAGTAAATACTGAGATTCCTCTGCGATGAAAAACATGTATGCTCTTCTTGTTTTGGTGTGTTCCAGAGAAGAACATTAAGTTTCGAAGTGCACCCACTTACTGTTGGTTTGCATTCTCTTCAGAGAGACGCTTATGCAGCATGAAGTCGGTGCCGAGTTTGGTTTGAAAGGGTCTGTTGGGTGTAAACTCCGTGATAAGAATGACCTCTCATTGTGTTTGACGTTTAATTTTGAGGAAGATAGTTTTGCTTTTCAGATGTGATTGATCTCACTGGAGATGATAAAGATGATCTTCAGAGAGCAATCGCCTTGAGTCTGGCCGAGTCAAGCAGGGCGTTCAGGGAGACCGGAGTAACTGATGAGGAGCAAGCCATTAGCAGGTAAAGACGCGCTTTGTATCCGTAGATGCAACTACTGTCATAATAGAAATGATAATGGCTTTGATTTCAAGAGGCACAAAGATATACTGTGTTGTTCTCAATATTAATATACTTCAGTATTGTTTTTATAGGTTATGTAACCAAAATGTTCACATTTAGTTACAGTTGCATTTGAAGCTTAGATTTGGGGAGTTGGAGCGGCATTATGGCGCGTACATTCAAGTATCTATTTTCTTTCAATTAATTTATTTTTGTTACAGATGTTTCTCCTTTCCCCCCATAGCCCCCCTCCTCCCATCAAGTATTATTATAACGTTTCTTTGATTTGTTTTTTTCCTCCCTTAATCCCTTTTGCGCATGTACCCTGTCCAATTTCGCTTACAGTCGAGGTAGGTGGAGTCAGCAGGCTTCTCGGTAAAGGGCCGACGGGAAATATTTTAGGTTCGTTGGCCATGTTTTTGTGACAGTTACTCCACTCGGTGGAGCCACAGGCCACACAGAGGGTCGTGAGTGGCTGGTTCCTATAAATCCCAGTTTAAATCGGGCTGCCCACTGGGTTTGGCTCATGGTCCATAGTTTGCCAACCTCTGGTCTATAGTACCGTGGTATAAGGTTGCTTTGTTACTTTCTTTAAAAAACTGGCAAGATCCCAAGATGGGGGATAGAATGCCTCTTTTGATTTCATAGCCCAAACTTTTTAGTTTGAAACCATTTGGTCTACCAAAGAATTAAATAAGTAAACCGATTGTATCACAACTACAATGCTAATTTTTGAAAAAGTATTTAAATTGTAACTGTAATCCAAACAACTCTTTGGAGGCATTGGTAACTCTCTAACTGAAAAAGAAATGTATCTTTTAGGAGGCTAAGTGATTTTCCAAAGGTTCTCAGCTCAGGTGGGTCTCATGAGTCCAGCATGCTTGTCCCTACAACACAGGTGGGTAGCATAATGGACCAACTTTCTCTGATAATTCTCTTGGCCCAATATCAATAGTATACTTTTTTCTAAGTAATCTGAAATTGCTTTTTAGTAGGAGATGTCACAGAATACTATGTTTATGCTATGCACATAATTTTTCTTAGTAATACTTTTAAATGTCTTTAAATATTACTTTGGAAACTACCTTGTAAGACATTGTATTAAAATAAACAGACTTAATTAAAATTATTACCCTCCTTAGTGTGGTTAATATCATTTATTACCAGTAATTTTATTTTATTTTTTTCTTTATTGTATTTTAGAGAGAGAGGACGGGAGAGGGAGAGAGAAACATCGATGAGAGAGATTGATTAGCCGCCTCCTGCACGCCCCCCACTGGGGATCAGGCCCACACCCTGGGCATGTGCCCTGACTGGGAATCGAACCGTCAACCTCTTGGTGCAGGGTTGACGCTCAACCACTGAGCCACACCGGCCGGGCTATTACCAGTAATTTTAAATGAAAACCGAAAATGGATAGACTAGTTAAGCTTATTTTGTAAAGGATTTGGAGAAAGTATGAAGTTATTATTCGTCTTCAAAAATAGATTGAAATGAAATAGTTGTCTTGAATAATTATAAAACTTGACAGTACTTACACTTCAATAAGAAATGTTTTAAACGTGAAATATATGAGTTGTATCTATAGGTAAGGGGAATGATGATCTATTATGTGAAAGAGAAGTTATAAAATAGTATCAGCACTTTTATGTCATGTTTCCTAATTTTAAAATAATATGTATCAATTAGATAATAAAAAGTAAAACTCACTTAAAAGATAGAGGATTAAGGCTATTAAGTTCAACCATATACTCACTTTTGTTTTAGATACTTTTGTCTAAATGGAAAAAAATTTCTTAAGATAATGTTCTTTTTTATTCTTGGTCTTTTAACTTCTAATGTACTTTTAAAATAGTAAATACTTTATGAATAATTTTATTCTATATAACATTACTGAGATTTGGAATAGTGTAATTTTGCATAAAATTATACTCTGTAGAGTAAAAAGTCATTAAATTACTGTTACAAAATGTACTTTTGGTATGTGTAGATTTTATAATTTACAGTTTAAAATGTTAAATGCAAAATGTGCAGTTAATAAGCATGTATACAAATCACGTTGTATCAGGAAATGTGAGAATTCTAGCTAAACTTTTGGCAGAGATACATTGTTGCTGTGGGTTTTATTAAGGCTAGCACTTAAATTCAAAAGGGGAAATGGTGCATTTTAATGGAAAAACGTTATATATCATGCCTAAAAGTAAACCTAACTATTTGTTCATTACCCATGTTCAGGTGACAGAATGTTACCAAATTAAGTTCAGAATCGTTTGACTGTTGGTATTTCAGTAGCCATACTGGGTGGGGCAAATATAGGTTTACAGTTCTGAGTAGGCGAAACAGTTTATCCTTGTGATATTTATTAAACATTGTATCGTTTCCACACAAACAACTGTTCGCCTGCTTTTGCCCCACCCTGTACTTTATTCAACATGAGTTCACACATTTAGAATACTATGTTATTGTGTGCAATCAGATGAGATAAAGCCTATCTTTTTACATCTTACAATCCTATATTTAGACACCCATGAATTTCATGGTATGACTTCTTCAGTTGAACATTTTTTTGTATATGCCCCTAGCGGGAACCGAATCCAGGTCTCTCTGGTCCGTAGGCCGATGCTCCAACGGCTGAGCCAAAGCAGCCAGGGCTTAAGTTGAACATTTAAAAACATTAATTAGTTATTAATTAATTTATCATAAGAAGTGTATGCTGTACTTACATACAAATATTTACATATAAACATCTACTTATCAACAATGGTGTTATATATGTCACTTAGGAATCTGTGCTCACACACATTATTAAAGTGTACTTCTTAATATAATTCCTTTTTACTTTCAGAATGAGTTGTATTTATCATGGCCTCTTGGTCCATTTCTTTAATGGGGAACAAGAAGCGTATGGATAGTTAAAATGTGCTAATGAGCTGCATTGTGAGCAGTTGGGTCTGGGGCGTATTTCTTGGGAAAACGACTCGCCTCACGAAATGACTTTGAACGGGCTCCATAAAGCTAGGTTCTGCTTAGAATCACTTCTGGAAACATGGTAGACTCAGCCGTATTTTCTAGTGGAAAAACCAGGATGTGTTTTTCCATCGGACGGAAAAGTTGTTAAGATCTTGAAAGGCTTACAGGACTGCGAAGATAGTAAAGACCAAAATCCGGGTGAAAGAAGGGACCCAAAAGAGAAAGTTGGGAACAGCGACCACCGCTCTTTGACATGATGCATTTGCTGTGTGCGTGCACTTGAACCTGAGCTCCGGTAAGCTTGTAGCATGTAGGGGGAACGTCTCAAGCCATTGTCTGCATAGGTGGGGAGCTTTAATAGGAGCTCACCCCCTCATTCAATGGTTATTCCAGGGGATGACATACTCACAAGAAGGGAACAATGAGGACCTCCCCTCCCCCTTCAAGCCCGACAGCACTGCAAAGGAGTTGACTGGGCTCTGAAGGTTGTTGTCTGTAGTGGGACTTGCCCCTGAGGGGTTGTTTTATGGCTTCTTTGTTTTTATTCCTCACCCCAGGATGCTTTCTTTTTCTCTTTCTTTTTTATCCTCACCTGAGGACATTTTTGCATTTATCTTCAGATAGAGTGGGAGAGAGAGAGAGGGAGAAACATCCACATGAGAGAGACACATCGAGTGGTTGCTGCCCACATGACCCCAACTGGGGCCGGGGACAAACTGTAACTGAGGTACGTGCCCTTAGCAGGAGCTGAACCCAGGACTCTCTGGTCCACAGGCCGACACTCTAACCGCTGAGCCAAAACGGCCAGGGCCCAAGGATACTTTTCTATTATCATCAGATAGAGTAGGAGGGAGAGAGAGACAGAGAGAAACATTGATGTCATAGAGCCACATCGACTGGTTTCCTTCTGCACGAGCCAGGGACAAACCGCAACCGAGGCATGTGCCCTTGACTGGAACCGAACCCGAGACTCATTGGTACCGACGCTCTAACCGCCGAGCCAAACCGGCCAGGGCTGTGTCATGGTTTTGAAGCTAAAATCTCCGCCACTTGAATGGCCCAGTAAATCTTGGGAATTTAGCTTTAAAAGGTGCTGGGTTTGTGTTGTGTCTTGTTCCTGGCAGTCAGAAACGCACCCCGTTTACGAAGGTGTGTCTTTACCCTCGGCCTTCGGGAACACCCTTCAGTTGCTTTTGGGCTCTATAAACCCCTCCAGTCAAAATTAACAAGCATTCTTGGACAAAAGCTACTGTGAGAAACAGCTGAAATGTTCCCACATGTTCAGGTGCAGTGACTGACGGGACTTTGCTTTACCTTTTATTGGGGAAAATTGCTCAGAGTACAATGACACTCTTTTATTTTTTTACCATAATTTTTTTTTAATTTTTATAATTGGCACTGTTACAGATGTCCCCATTTCCCCCCATTTTCTCTCCTCTGCCAAGCCCCCCACCTGCCCCATCTGGCCCATGGGTTATGCGTGTATGTTCTCTGGCTAAGCTGGTACAAGAAATAAGAAATCTTTGAAAAGATGACCTCACGTTGGAAAAAGAATTGAAAATATCCTCTGGAAATGAAAATTAGAACTACTCAAAATTTGAAAAGCAGTACCGCACAGGGTTACCAGCAGATCGGAAATAGCGAGACTGGAAGATGCACAGGAAGAAGGATGCGGCCTGGAGCAGACAGCCAAGAAGGGGAAAGGCTGCGGGTGCGGACATCTGAGCGGGTCTGCCGCACGTTCACTGGTGGTAAAGGAAGGGGAGAGGCCCTCACGGGGGATTCTCACAAGTGCACAGAAAACCCGTGATTCCATGAAGCTCAACCAATCTCCGTCCTGAGGGTGAGCAGAAACCAGCCCTTCAGCGTGTCACCGCGACGCCCCGGACACTTCATTACGACTGAGAACGTCGTCAGGGTCCTCGGAGGAAGAAGGCGGAGTTATCCTATAAACGGTGGCGGTGAACTGACAAGTGACACACTTGGCACAG